GGGGGAGAAACTAACAGAGATTTAGAGGTTAATCATGACACCAGTAAGCTTTAAGCATCATGCAGCTTTATTATCTTCCAAAACGTGTACACTGGTAACGTGACATGTTTAGTGAAACCTAACATCCTGTCGTAAATAAGGCTGGAACTTAGGTTATACACTCATATTGTACTGACTATACTCCAGTTGAAATCATTTTGTAAAAAGACAAAGTTTATACAGACAATCCTAACTTGAACTTACGACATAAAGTGCAATACAGACAAAAGATACATTTTGCTTATGAAATGCACAAAGAAACAAATGACAAGAAAAATCTTAAGTAAATCTTCCCTTTAAAACCGAAATCCAGTGTACTGTAAAACACGACAGTTGCTCTTTGAACTGCGCTCCGTCCAGGCGTCGTCGACACAACATTCCCTCGGCTTCCCTTTCCGACATACAGTAAGTCACACCAAAGGGTAAGTGAAGGAACGAAAGTAAACTAGTTAAGTCTTTTACTTTAAGAGCATCTGTATTCAACGTTGGCTTTACCGAAACTTCTTAGTAATAAGATACTGCTTCTGTTGCCCATTTCTCTTGAAATTAGTTGAACTTAATAACTAGCATGAATCTAACTTATAGTAATAGCAACACATTACTAATGGAAATTATAACTTACTTATTATGCGATCATAAATATTGAAATGATAATAAATAATATGGCCTCAAGGCTTCTAGCCACTGGAAAATAAATAGTAGATAATGCATCTTCAAACTCTCCTTGATAAATACAACGGCGTTAAATAGGAAAATAAATAATGCAGGCCAGATGAATCCACAGCCTGTAAATCAAGGCAAACTTGATAACGGATGAGAAGTAGCACTTGCAGTATCTTTATTTCCAGAAACGAAAATTAAAATTGCGAGTGACGGGAAGAAATAGAAGAAAAACGTAACAAGACAAAAAGACCCAAATTTCCCACTTACTCGATATTCACAACAAATATCTACAAGGTTCTTAAATCTACAAAAGATATGTCGGGAATCCAAGTCACTGAAGGTACGCAAACTCCAGGTGCGGTGGCGGGCCAGGTACGGGTGGACGGTGCCGGCGCTCAGCTTCGGCGCTGAGGAGGCTCACTTCTGCAGATAGTGCAGCAGGTGGGGCTCCGGCCGGCGGTCGCTGCTGTAGCTCGCCCCGCTGGACTTGTCTGCGGAAGGAGAGGGATATCTTTAGGATGGTCGTTAGACGTTGTCTCTAGCTTTCTCTCTCCCGGCGCTGCTGCTGCTCGGCTCACCGACTGCGATTGCGATGATCCTTTTGCTTGTGTCACCAATAAAATAATCATTCACACATTATAGGTGAAGACCGTAAGTATCATCACATATACATTATCACTAATTTGAGTACTAAAAATTATCAATACCATTTTTAATTGACATAAACATTACTAAATTATTATTATTATCATCATCAATATTGGTATCTGTATTGATATTAGTGTTAGTATTAGTATCTTTGTTATTATTATTATCCTTATGTATATCTAAATTTATCAACATTTAGGAACCTTATTATTACTATTATCTTATTTTCATTATCATTATCGTTATCATTACTGTTATCATTATCGTTGTTGTTGTGGTTATTATTATTATTATTAAAGTTATTATTATTACGTAATCTTTATCATCCTCATTTTCATCATCATTATTCTTACTATTATTACTATTATTATTATTATTATTATTATTATTATTATTACTATTATTATTATTATTATTATTATAACTGTTATTATTATTATAACTATCATTCTTATTATCATTGTTATTGTAATTATTATCATCATCATCATCATCCTTGTTATAATTATTATTATTATTATTATTATTTTTATTATTATTATTATTATTATTATTATTATGATCATTATAATTATTATTAGTAGTAGTATTATCCTTATTGTCATTATTATTAGTAATAGTATTATCCTTATTGTCATTATTATTATTATCATAATCTTCATTATTATTATAATCATTATTTATGATAATTGCCAATATTCCTATCACTGTTATAATTTTCATTATCATTATCATAATTATTATCTTCAGCATTACTTATTTCCATTATCATTATTATTAGTAGTAGTAGTATTTTTATCATTATCATTGTCATTATCATCTTTATTATCTTCATTATTATGATTATCGTAATCACAATTAATTTTGTTATTACTAAAACCAATATTATGATTATTTTATCATTAATATTATCATTATTATTATCATCATCACAATCAGCAGCAGCAATATTGATATTATGATTATTATCAATATTTCTATTATTATCATTATTATCATTAGAATATCATTATTATTATTATTATCATTATTATCATTATTACTATAATTATAACTATTACTGTTATTATTATTACTATTATCTAATCATCATTATTACTATTATCTTTAATATTATTATTATAATCATTATTACTGCTATTGTTATTATTATTATTATTATTATTATTATTATTATTATTATTATTATTATCATTATTATTATTATTATTATTACTATTACTATTATTATTATTATCATTATCATTATCATTATTATTAATATAATTATCACTGTTATAACATTTCTACATTTGTCAACCTGAATAAAGTTTATATAAAGATTATCATTATCAGTTATGTCACTGACATTTTTTTCTCAATTCTAGAATTACTGTTGCCATTATTCCTATTTATTGTTATTACTATTAATTTTGCTGTAACACAACAAATATCAATTTTATTATAGTCATTATCATTTCATTATTCTCACTGTCGTCATTATTATTATTGCCATAATCATAATTACTGATCATTTAGATATTCATTGTAACTTATCACTGTTATTATAAAAAACGACATTATTATTATAGACGAAAACTATATTATTGTCATTATTACTTTCGTCATTATCATTATTGTTACTATCAATAATGATAATAATAGTAATAATGATAATAATAGTAATAATAATAATAATCACAGTAATAATAATAACAATAATAGTAATAGTAATAATGATAATAACAATAACAAAAGTAATAATAATAATAATAATAATAGTAATAATAATAACAATAATAGTAATAGTAATAATAATAATAACAATAACAAAAGTAATAATAATAATGATGATTATAATAGTAATAATGATTTTTTTAATGATGATAGTTATAATGATTACTATTATTATTATTATCATTATTATAATTATTATTAGTAGTAGTAATAGTAGCAGCAGTAGTAGTAGTAGTAGTAGTATTAGTATTAGTAGTAGTATAAGTAGTAGTAGTAGTAGTATCATTATTATCATTAATGATATTAATGATCATTAGTATAATCAGTTTATTATTATCATAATGATTATCTATCTCATTCTTGATATTGTTGTCATTATTTCCTCTGATGATGATGATGATAATGATGATGATGTTGATTACTATTATTATGATTATCATTATCATTGTTATCATTATCATTATTTTATTATCATTATCATTATAATTGTTATTATTATTAACTGTTTTATTATTGTTATTGTTCTTCATATTATTACCATTAATACTATCGTCATTCAACATTTTTATCATTGCAATTTGTTTATAAGTCGAGTCGGCATTAGTCGGCAAAGCCCAGGCTCTCCTCTTACGCCTAGCCCGGGGGAGGTCCAGCGTCCTTGTTTATAATCAATATTACTATCATTATTGTTATTATCAATTTTATCCCTGTTATTTCTATTACTATCGCTATCTTTGTTATCACTGTTATTATTGTTATTACCATTATCTTTATGATTATTACTATCATTATTATTATCATTATTATTATTGTTATTATCATTATCATTATTATTATTGTTATTATTATTATTATTATTTTATTATTATTATTATTATTATCATTATTATTATTGTTATTATCATTATCATTATTATTATTGTTATTATTATTATTATTATTTTATTATTATTATTATCATTATTGTTATTATCATTATTATTATTATTCCCTTTATTATTATCATTATTATTATTATTACTACTACTACTACTGTTATCAGTATCATTGTTATCATTTTTGTTATTGTTATTACTATCATTATCATTATTATCATCATCATTGTTATTATCATTACTATTACTGTTATCATCACCATGATTATTCATATTGTCATCATTATTATTATTATCATAATTATTTATAATATTAGTATCATTATTGTTTTATCAATGTCAATAATGCTACATCATTATCAATAATGTTACATCATTATCAATAATATTAAATCATTATCCTCAATGTCATTATTATCATTAATGTCATTATTATCAATATCATTATATTTATTATTATCGTTTTATTATTACTGCTTTACTGTGGCCTTATGAGTTAAACACCTGCCTTCGAAGCGGGGGACTAGGGTTCGATTCCCTAGTCTTTTTTTAAATTATTATTTCTATTTTTTCGCTGCGCCGGGGCCGCAGGTGACCCTCACTGACTGCGGCCTCGCCCTGATAGTTTTAATTTATTTATGTTTTTTTTTTTAGCATGGTTTGTAGGGCGACTTCCTCACACGAGAGGGTCCCACGATCGATTCCAACCGATGCCAAGTGACACTTGTGTCACGCAGGCACTACTCTTCTTTTCAGTCCTGGGTAAGACGTTAAACTGCACCCTGGGTTGCCCTTTGGAAAGGCATAGTACCCATTTCCACCCTTGGTTGGGGTAAAACCAAAACTGTTGCAACAGGGCAGTGGATGCATGTTGGAGGCTCATTCAGTGCAACTGAAAATGATGGCTTCAACAAGCACGTACGTCTGGCAAGTACTTAGTCCTACTGAAGAAATGGTAGAGGTGCACCTTCCGGTAGAGGAAACCTGCGGCAGAGAAAGTGTACTGGGAACCCTACTCTGCTATTCTTCCCGATTACCCTCCATGATGTTAGTACAGAA